AAACAAATGGTGTATGCAACGATTACTCAATTAGGTTCATGTGTTTATATATAGCCCCATACATACTTTTACTCGATTTCATACAAATGGTACACCAAGGAATCCAAGTCGGCCCGTTTGACATGCAATTTTTCATTGTTTTCAGAATGGTATGTGTATGGGGGTTTTTCAATTGGTTGAAATATCTATCTAGATAGCACATTTAATTTCGCCTAATTCTATATCAATGGTCCTCCAAAGATTCTATGACTGTTCTACCAACAGGATTTTGTAGATATTAACATCTCTTGTATGTACCCAATGTGGTGAAGGGTATCATATAGTCGGCCCCATCCGACTTTTGAGCTTTCCTTACTGGTTATGTTTCGCAAAGTTCTTCGCGATTTCTACAATAAATCCATATTCATATTTCTCGAACAAATCCATGTATTAACGCTTTTGGTCACTATAACAAACAGCGTAATTTTAATATTTCCTATAATATAACCCCCACAACTTTTGCACACACCAAACGAAAATCTGATCGTGAACGGATTCGGAAAACAAGAAAAGCCGATTTATGGAAAGTGGAATATAAAGAAATTGGCATATTGCCTATATATATTTGTAAATTGGATTTTCGAGTTCTTAGACGATTTACCTGGTGTTAACAAACAATTTTTTTGGTAGACAATAGGTAAGATATAAAACATTTTAAGCAATGCATTTATATATATACAGTGAGTGTAATAAGTATTTTGCCTCAATATAAATTTGACAAAATTATAATATATACGCCAAAGCCAGCATACTAAAGATGTAAAATGAATTATGTATGATGGGATATGTTTGTGGACATATTTAGATCTTATTTCTGCAAGAATCACTGCGAAAGACCTATTGGTCACGAAGATATCGGCCAAAATCTATACCAACCCAAAAATGATTATCACAAAAAAGTATTTTGCTTTTTATTATCATTTTTGAAAAAATCATTATATAACACACGCTTTGTCTTTTTATAGTTACCATTGCGGGTAACCACATACTAAAAGCGATTTGGCGACGATTCCAATAAACCACGGCATTTTTTCGCGAATATTTTCTCACATTTACGTTCAATACATTCTCCAGCAATTTTTCATTTAATATATGGTAATTTCTCGTCCTAATCTCAAAATGAGAGTATTAGATATGGTCGTCGCGGCTTCAAAACATCCCAAATAACTTTAGAATAATAAAAAGGAGGTTTTGCAAAATAAATCGCGAGGACAGGACCTTAAAAACTATTAAAACCAAAATCCGACAAACAAATTATTAAAAAAAATATCGCGAAACCCCATTTTTCAGACTTTGAAAACTTTATGGTCCATTAATATTGATCTAGGAACCAATATATGCGATTAAAATAGCAATAAGGTGGTCAGATTCAAAGAAATTAACAGTTCTAAAACAACAGAAACTACAAACAGTACATGAAGTTGGGAGAAAACATCATTCTTCGTCAAATACTTTTGCGTTTTAAAAAACTGTGGTAGCTGGTGACTAATACGCAGTCAATATTTTACATCCGTTTAACACCATCAGTTGCGAATAAAATGCATCAGTGAATAAACTGGTCGATCTATTTATTTTCGAAATTTGATGTATTTCTATTGCCACAAAACCGTTCATATCTTATCTTAGAATCGACCTTCTTATTGCTATTTTCATCGCATATATTGGTTCCTAGATCAATATTAATGGACCATAAAGTTTTCAAAGTCTGAAAAATGGGGTTTCGCGATATTTTTTTTAATAATTTGTTTGTCGGATTTTGGTTTTAATAGTTTTTGGGGTCCTGTCCTCGCGATATATTTTGCAAAACCTCCTTTTTATTATTCTGAAGTTATTTGGGATGTTTTGAAGCCGCGACGACCATATCTAATACTCTCATTTTAAGATTAGGACGAGAAATTACCATATATTAAATGAAAAATTGCTGGAGAATGTATTGAACGTAAATGTGAGAAAACATTCGCGAAAAAATGCCGTGGTTTATTGGAATCGTCGCCAAATCGCTTTTAGTATGTGGTTACCCGCAATGGTAACTATAAAAAGACAAAGCGTGTGTTATATAATGATTTTTTCAAAAATGATAATAAAAAGCAAAATACTTTTTTGTGATAATCATTTTTGGGTTGGTATAGATTTTGGCCGATATCTTCGTGACCAATAGGTCTTTCGCAGTGATTCTTGCAGAAATAAGATCTAAATATGTCCACAAACATATCCCATCATACATAATTAATTTTACATCTTTAGTATGCTGGCTTTAGGCGTATATATTAGAATTTTGTCAAATTTATATTGAGGCAAAATACTTATTACACTCACTGTATATATATATTTATATATAAATCTGGACAATTTATGACATTTAAAAGTAAAATTATAATAATTAATATTTAACAAGTGAGCCGAAATGGAGTGAACATTAAATAAATTGAAAAATTGTAAAATAATATATGGTCTGTTCCAGTACTTTTTAAATATTAAATCTAGTAAATGGGAAACATTTCAAAATTGCTCTCAGAGTACAAAATAATTTGAAAAGTGCGTTCCCGAACTATCTAGTAAATATGCCAAAATTAGATGACAATACTTCAAAATCAACATAACAGTCAATCAGAAGTAGGCATTCCTGTTTACTATTTTTACTCGGCAAATTTCCCGAGTAAAAAGTTTACAAATAGAACGCCATTTTTTGTGCTCTCTTAAATTTGATTCAATGTTTTACCAGTTTTGTGAGTTGAGGAACGGTTTTCGAGTAAAAAGTTGCAAAACATGTAAAATGAGTAGATTCTTTTAGGTTCTGGAACGGAACTATAATTAATATTTTCAGATTTATTCATAAGGTTAACAGTCTTCTCTTGCTGCCATAGTCTTCTCTTGCTGTCAACATTTTAATCGCGAAATACCAACCAGAACAGGATAAAAACTCATAATATCTTTCAGGAAAACGTAATGATAGTAATACGCACATATATTTTGGTTCAAATAAATTATTTTTTGTTTATTTATTCTTCAAATAATAAATTTGACAGTCTACGAATTCGCCTCCCTGTTAACCTTATGAATAAGCCTTGACGCCTACGTCACAAAGACAATTTGTAATATTTGGAAATTCATACGTGAACCCAATTGTCTTGTCGCTTGTGAGCAGAGAGCAGAGAAAAAATTTTATGAGATTCAAAGCAATTTCTTTAAAATTTTGAAGTGTTTAATTAAACACAATCAAACCCCTATGTAGAATAATGTAACCCTCCCCTACTCTTTTATATAAATTACCCGACCTAAAATATACAAGGGAAGATACAAAACTTAATAAACAATCAGAAAATCTTTTCAAGCAATGCCAAATAACAAATAAATTTTGCAATGAAACATGCAACCTAACAATTGTGAATTGTGTTGTGTATCAATGGTATGGCTTTTGAAAATGATAATGTGAAGCAGCCAACGAACCAAATCGACCACAAATGGGGGAATACTTTATTTGTTAGATGTGTTTTTCTCCCTACACTATTTCGATAAAAAGATGGAAACTAAAAATAAAAGATTTCACAAAACAAAATAAGCAAAAAACAGAGATAAGTTCGGCAGTTTCGAATTTTTAATACCTTCCCAAAAATACCACATTTTAGTGCTGACAAGTTTTTTTTTTCAAAATAAATGGCTAGAATCAATATTATTTATTTACATTGGGTTGTAAATCTTCCCACCAAATATTTTCAATATTGGTCCGCTTATAGCTTTCCCACGGCACCTCTAATTTTCGTCATTCCGAACACCAAATTGATTGAAATATAATATTTTAGAATTTCATTGAGTGGCGAATTTTCCTACAAAAAATATCTATGCAGAAAATGTTCTACAAAGGTTCCATCCAATTTTGAGAATCGCCATTCTCCTTGGCGAATTCGCTTCGTGGGTAAACAACATTTTACGGAACACTTTCAATATAAGTTCATGGTTTGGCATAACCATCATATAAGAGTCCCGACTAATTTTATGTATCCATCTCATGGCTAATAAGTTCAGAATTAGATGTGTTTGTTCAAGGTGTTGCAAACAGAATGACAACGTGAATATACTCTCCACATTATAGTTAAAGTATGAAAAATACCTAAACATAAAGAAATGTTTCAGGAGTATTCCTTGCATGCTTCGCAATGTAGTAACAAACACTTGAAGACTGACTGCTCCCAAAGTGGCATTCTTGCTGGTAGCGTAGTAACATCTTAGAGTATTGTTTGTTTTAGAAATTTTATTGTGCTCTCTGTTATAAACAGCTGTCCGCTGCATGTGGTCTGATACAAACACACACCCTCTGACATGGAAGGAAGAAAGTTAAACAAACAAATTAGTGTTGCATAAAAAATGCCACTGGATTGTTGTTGTTGTTTTTCTTTTTCCTCTACTTCATGGGATATGTAAATAATATGGAACTCCTTAAGTATGGCTTCCTTCTTATGCTACTGGCATAGAAGTTATCGCAATTCCCTTTGGAGCTTTAAGGCGAAACATAATGTGTGCAACAAAGTCAAGCAGAAATAGTTTTATAATTTTGTGATTGTTTGGGGAACAACTATCAAAAGGATGTAGGATAATACAATTACTTCAAATGCTTTAGCTTTTGGAGGAGGAAGATATATGTTGTGATGTTGAACAAAATAGCTAGTTGATGTTAATATTGTGGGTGTGTGTGTCACATATTCTCAGGAGGGGACTAACAAATAAACATGTATTTCATTAGGATATTGATGTGACATATTAAGAATATGTTGTACTGAGATTTAAACACAGAAGTCCAGATATTGATAATAGGTCAATAGGGAGTCATAGGTTACGACTCCTAGCTGTAAGGACTTTTATTAGATCAAGTAATGTAAATGATATATATAGTTATTTATTTTTTCTCAAAATTATTCTTTAATATTTTCTTTTTTTCCCTTTAATATTATCTTTATTCTTCACAGGGAATTGCAGCGCATTGAAAATGCAACCAATACACCGGTTATATCCCATCTATCCGAAACGATACAAGGTGTTACCACAATACGTGCCTACAATCAGGAATCACGTTTCACGGAAATATTATTTCGACGATTGGAAGAAAATACGATTGCATTCACGATACTCAATACCAGCAATCGTTGGTTGGGCATATCATTGGTAAGTACTTTTGTGTGTGTGTTTGAGGATGGGTGTTATATACGGCAGTAGGTACACTCAACTCCCACAAGGCGATTAAAGTTCAGTAGGAGAAGAATAATTTTGTGGTGGCGTTTAAATTCGAGACTAAACCTTTTAAAAAGGGAAATAATGTTTTTCTTTAAAAACTACAAAGTTAATGATAATTTTTTCAAAATATATTAGGTTGGGGAAAAAGAAATCCATTAGGCCGGTAGTCGAAAATGTCGATAAAATCTGAGAAATGATCGAAATTGACCGGCATGTTAGCAGTCGTAACATCGCAGGAGCAAAAATTAACCATAAAACTATTTTAAACCATTTACACAAAGCTGGTTTCAAAACAAGCCTTGATGTTTGGGTGCCACACCAATTAACAGAAAAGAAAATAGGATGGATCAAATTTCCATCTGCAAAGCCTTGTCCAAACGGAATGAGATAGACCCATTTCTTAAACGGATGGTGACTGGAGATGAGAAATGGATCACATACTATAACCCTGTACGAAAACGATCGTGGTCAAAGAGCGGTGAAGCACCTCAAACGGTGGCCAAACCAGGACTAACGGCCAGGACAGTTCTGCCATACATTTGGTGGGACTGCAAGGGGATTATTTATTATGACTTGCTTCCATACGGCCAATCTCTAATTTCTGGTCTCTATTGTCAACAACTGGACCGTTTGAAGATAGCAATTGACCAGAAACGGCCAGAATTGGCCAACAGGAGAGGTGTAGTGTTACACCAGGAGAACGCAAGGCCACACACATCTACAGTGACTCGCCAGAAACTTCGAGAGTTTGGTTGGGAAGTTTTAATGCATCCGTCATGCAGTCCGGACTTGGTACAAAGCGATTATCATATTTTTCTTGCTCTGCAAAATTTCTTTAATGATAACAAATTGTTATCTAGGGAGAATTGTGAACATCGACTACTAGAGTTTTTTGCATATATAGAGCAGGACTTCTATGAGAGAGGCGTTATGAAGTTACCTATAAAATGACAACAAATCATACAACAAAAGTGTGCATATTAGGCCCAAACCGGACATTCCAAAGCATGTTAAATAAATTCCTATATTTCATATAAAAATAATGGATTTCTTTTTCCCCAACCTAATACAATTTATACGAAATTTATTAGTGAAAATAGATTAAAGACTTCCTGTGCTAGGATTGGGTAAGTGTAGAAAAGAAAGCTCCAAATATACGAATGTAAAATATCATAATCTACATACGGATGACAATAAACTTGTCTGGTGGAATTTAAAAGAGTTAAGATTGTTTTGGAATCATAATTTATTCAAGAATATGAATGAAACCAGTAAGGGAAGAAGTAAAGTCGGACGGTGCCGACTATATGACACCCTTCACCACTATGGATATGTTAAACAGATTCATCCTAACAGACTTCGCATTTTTGGAGGACCAATAATATATAGGAGCTATATCCACATCTAACTTCGATACGTTGTGCAACATTGTGTGTCAATCGGCGTAACTTTGGGCCTTATGTGCACAATTTACTTAAAACCGGACGAAACTGTATATGGGAGTCATATCTAAATTTGAATTGATTCCAACAAAACTTGACACCCGGTAGGTTATAGCAACTTCAGTACGTTGTGCAAAATTTTGTCTCAATCGGCATTACTTTGGGTCTTTTGTGCCCAATTTACCTTAAATCGGACGAAAATATATATATATATGGGAGCTATATAAAAATCTGAACCGATTTTCAGGAAACTTATCACACATCATTCTAGGCCTAATTCAGTACGCTGTGACAAATGTCGTGTATATAGGTACTTTGGTGCACCATTTACCTTAAATCGGACGAAAATATATATGGGAGCTATATCTTAGCACACAAAATTCTAGGCTTAATTAAGTAGGCTATGCCAAATTTTGTGAAAATCGAAAAATATATAGGGTCTTTGGTGCACCATTAAAATATATATGGGAGCTATATCAACATCTGAACCGATTTTCACGAAACTCATCACACATCATTCTTGGCCTAGTACGCTGTGCTAAATTTCGTTTAAATCGAAAGATATATAGGGACTTCGGTGCACCATTTACCTTAAATCGGACGAAAATATATATATGAGCGCTATATCTATATCTGAACTGATTTTTCCCAATTTCAATAACGTTCAAAGACAGACGGACGGACGGTCATGCATAAATAGACTTAGAAAGTGATTCTATGCATATTCTCAAAAGGAACCATGTGTCAATCTCATTTCCTTTTGTCTGTTACAAACATGTGCATTAAGACATAATACCCTGTACCACAATGTGGTGAAGGGTATAAAAGTAAAAAGGTCGTTAAATTCGACAGGAGCGCACTTTTTATTCTCTCTACCATGAGTTGCACAGTCAAATAGATTGGGACATTTATATTAACGCCCATATAAAAGTCTCGATCAATTTTAAGTATTTAACTTAAAATTGGGCAAACTATATAACTTTGGGTCTTTGGTGGACTATTTACTCAGGTTTTGCAAGGTTTGGCTCAAATCGTGTTGTCCGTTCGCATTATAAACTTTTGACCATTTTATAGGGGAAGTACCAGAAGTAGTGAACCGATATTACCCATCTTCGAACTTGAACTGAGTTTGGAAGACATTTTACGATGTGCAGAGTTTAATCGAAATCGGAAATTTGTAGATCGACTTCAAATTGTTTGAAACGGAATTGGTCCAAAGAAACATGAAGTATAAAGCCAATATTTTGATAAGGCACATTTCTGTATATACCCTCATTAGCCATAAGGCTAAGGGTATAATGATATTATCGAGTTATGCATGTCCGTCTATTGAAATATCAAAAGAGCTCAAATTATTTTGAAATTCTGTATATACATTGCTATTTCTCTAGGACGTTAAGTACTGAAAATGGAATACATTGGCCCACTTTATGATATTGAAACCGAAATCGGTATTTTGCGGATTTTTGGAACGTCATTCATTAGGAATCAAATTTTCTAACTGAATATGTTTCATATTGGTCCACTCTCTATGATCGCCCCCATATATAGGTACCTCCTAAATTTCAGTATTTTGAGGAGTATGTGCACGTTTTTCAACCGAATTTGCTGTAATTTGGTATTTTGGGTATTTTAAATATTGATACACTTTTTACGATAGTCTCCTCAAATTGCGGTGTTTTGGGTACATTTTTCAACAGAATTGACTGTAATTTGGTATTTTGAATTCACATTGAGTAGCAAATATTCCCACCACAAATCATCATATATATTTACGATAGCCTCCATATAACGGTATCAGCTTTAATTTGGTATTTTGAAATTGTAGATCCTTTTCCCCGAATGAACTGTAATTTCTTATTAGCTGTCAAATTCCCTACCAGAAATGCGAAATAATTCTGTAGTTGCCATTAATACCACCTCATATCTTTTCCGAATGATCTGCATCTACTGTTTCTGATGCATCCAATATTGTGTTAAAAAGCCAACAGGAGGCATTGTCCTGCAAGAATATCTGCCAACCCCCTTGTTGTTCTATTTCGATCATGACCTCAATTCGAGACATGTTGTACTAAAGGTTTTGGCGTGTGTATTCCCCTGGTTCTCTGAACCAACCTCGTCCTTCCTGCTAACCGAGTGTCATCTGGGTACCTACAATTTTCGAGCATCGCGAGTTACCCATCTGGCTACGTCGTTAGCCTGTTCTATAATTGTGTGGGATGTATTGTGAGGTGTATCGAGCGGTCAAAGCTGTTATTGTGCTTGATAAAATCGGTCAATATTTAGCTGACCAAGACTTTTGCAAGGCAAATTAAACAAGTAAAAACGTCGTTAAATACTACAACATTTTTTTGGAAAGCGTGCCCAACATCCACAAATATATCTAAATCATTTCGATATCTATCTCCATCGTTATTTCAAAATATATAGTTTTATTCTGATCAAGAATATATATCTAAAGGGTATTATGTATATATGTTAGTTGCATTTCTATTACCCCAAAAATTAAATAATAGACTTCCACATCTGGGTTCAATAACCTTAGCTTAGCGACTCTATGAATTATTCACCTTAAAGCGATTTTAGATAAAAATGTTGACACAATAGAAGAGTTGCTGTTTCCAGTTTGTCACCAATTAAAATAAACTATTTTCCTATTTTCTCGAATATTAAACTTTTTTCGCCGAATTCAATTCGTTTTTTTACAATATTTTACATAAAATATATATGAAAATAAAAACAAATTGTATCGTAAAACTACTAACTTGTTGTTCTTGTCCTTTTTATTTAACTTTCTGATCAACGCTTGTTATTGTTGTTGTTACTCACGGTACATTTGATGACACAACAACAACCGCGCCAACAACTGTCATAAACCAACAAACAACAAAACAAAATTACAAACAGGATTACCTGGGTGGTGTCATTGTATTTGTGGCCATAGTGACAGCTTTATTGGCGGCAACAATAGCATGCAACAGCTCGAACAATAATCATCATGCCACCGTCACCATGAAGGCTACAGGATACCCAGCATCCCCGTTATCGTCACCAACGACAGCATCCTTTAATGCATCGTCATCTTCATACTCGCAATGGGTAACGACGACATTATCCCCCTCCCCCTCATTGGTGGGTCTGGCCATCAACTATACGCTATTGATGCCAATTTATTTGAATTGGGTTGTAAAACTTTTGGCCGATATGGAAATGTATGTCGGTTCGGTGGAACGTATTGCATATTATGCGGACAACGACAGTGACACGAAGAATGGTGGCGGTGGTGAGGTGGAGAGCTGTCGAACATCCATGGCAAATGATGACAACAACATTGGTTTATCAACAAAAGTTTGCAACGAATCAAAGGCAGAGACCAGTTCCAGTGTTCGGAGCCAAGCCAAAGATGTTGGCTGTGTTGCTGCTGGCACGTCTGCTGAGAACAAAGTTTGTGGCGATGATAAATTGTTGTTGTTAAGTCCAAGTGAAAAGAGCGATACATCGTCGTCGAAAATGGCTGCAATGACAACATCCTTGTTTACCACTGACAACAATGTCAATGAAACTGTTGTTACAATCTCGAGAAAGACGAACGGCACAAATGATGATGGTGCTGTGAATGAGAATGGTGGAGAAGAAAGTAAAGAACTTGGAGACAAAAAGATGGATGTAACGACAACTACCTCTAATGCTGCTGCTTCTGCTTCTAATGGTGATCATCATCATCGTCATATTACTAATGATGGACATATTGCAGTAACCACAAAAACTTTATCACAACAACATGGAACAACATCAACAACTGTCATTCAAGACGAGCAGCACCATGATGCTCGTGCTGATGATGATGAAGACGATAACAATGCTGCTAACCCAACATCTTTACTTTTGCCCAACAACAAAACGTTGGCGATGACGACGACCACATCTGACCACATCAATATTCCAAATAACAGTGACAACAACACGAACAACAACAATAACAACCAGACTTCTTTAGCATCGTCATCTACTGGTCGTTCACCAGTGGCAGCATCTTCAGCAAAGTTCCTGCCAAGATGTAATGATGCTGAACGTCAAGCCAGTGTTCGTCGTTTAGCTAAACACAAAAAACAATGTAAGTATGTAAAATGATGGAAAGGTATTAGTGTTAGTGGGAGATTGTGTGTGTGTGTTTGGTAGTATTAATTTAAAGTTGTTGTCACTCTCTGGGTGTGATTGAAGCGGAAGTTATTTTATTATAATCTATTTCGTATTCTATGGTATGGTAATTAGTGAACATGTTTGGTGTAAAAACCATAACCAATTTCTATTGAAAAATTTTGCCGAATTTAAATTTCTATGCATTTATGTGCCAAAAAAACAAGTTTGCTGATTTTTTTCTTTAAAAAAACTTGGATAGATGAAATTTTTTTAAATAATAGTTTCTTGAGTAGACGTTTTCTTATAATTATTCGCTGAATTGCATTTTTATAGAAAAAATTGCTGAATTAACTTTTTCTATATTGCAGACTTGAGTATTTTCCTAAATATTATCCAATTAATTATAGACTTGTTTCGCAAGTACCCATATACTTGTGATCGGAGATGGAGTACTCTTGTGAGACTCTCCAACAGTGTTGCCGAAAGTGGGACGCTCCGTTTTTCTGGACGCTGTAGATATCATGACCCACACAAGGCAAAATTTTACACGGGGAAGAGAATATGTTAAGAAAATAAACATGGATGTTCTGATAAATATTGGTCAGTATTTGGTGGGATCAAGACTTTTGTTTGAAAAAATTAGAGAAGAGACACCAATAATATTGATAAACATTCTCTGATGTGGGATTTATTGTCCAACAATAAGTGAAGTGGATCTTGGCAACGACTAAACATGCCTTTCAGTATGCTGATCGGTGTGAAGAATTTTTTCTACGAGGAGTTTGAGATATATGAAAGTATAAGTCGGTGTTCAGACTTTCCCTAAAGATCTATCCAAGCCTACCACAAGAAGAGACCCTACGTCTATCTCCTCCATGTCCAGCAATGTCTTGTTCGGCAGTCGTGAAATCGCGGTCCCAATCTCTGATGACGGAGGTTGACTTTTGTAGTCGAGGTATGTCCCTTTTCCTCACCATCTTGAGTTTTATTGTATCGCCTTTGGAGACAATACTTGCTACTAGTTTTCTCAGTGCTTCTGTGCTCTTTGTTGACTTCTATTCTAGCATTAGAAAATCCACTTAAATTCGCAGCAGTACTGTAGGTGTTCCATAATCTTGTTATTGACCACTTACATCCCCTCTTTATGGATCTCCGTTTTAGTTTTCCGGATGTACTATTCTCGTCAATCACTGCATAGCAGAGCTCGTCTCTATAGGGCGCGTTACGATGACGGCTCCTTACCAACTGCTTCTTTTGAGAGTTCCCTAAATCGATGAATTCTCGAAACAGTCCCTGAGTCTGTGTTGACTCAGCATTCTCTTTTTATCATTAGACGGGAATTCCTTTTTCTTTGTTGCTGATTTGGCATTCATCTGCTTTTCCGGAGACCTTTTCGCCGCTTCCGAAATGCTTGGCAATATCCTTACACACTTCCTTTACCAATTTATCAGCCTCTTCGCTTTTCCAACATTCTAAGACTGTTGTGCTAGTCTTATCCTGGTTTCGAGATTGGGCATTTCAATTGAGTTCCGCCTTTCTTTGAAGGCTGCGTCGAAATTGTTCATCCCCTGTGTATCTTACACTGAGATCCATATTTACCTTTTGGGGGATGATCCATATAACGGTACTTCACAAATTTCGGTATTTTGGGGAATTCGGGTATATTTTTCAACCAAATTGGCTGTAAATTTATATACTGAATGGAAAATCTCACTAATTGGAAGCACTTGTTTTGGAGGAGCCCTTTACAACGGGTTATTTTGGATTTCACCAAAAATAATCAATATCAGTCCACGTTGATGTAGCCCCCATAAAGTAGTGTTCGAAGGCCGATCTTTAGGTATAGCCTCATAATAAGGTTCAGCGCCATTATAGGTATGTTAATGATCCTGGCCGCATTTTCATATTTTATATATGTATATATTTTAGCATTACGAAGTGAATGTAATTTGCTTTTCCAGTCTTTGTGTGTAAAAAACGTATTCATAGAATAATATCAATATAAGTCTACATGCCCTCATATAAAAGGACACGCATCATTTTGGGTTTGTACAAAGTCCAAGCTCATTATTATAGACTGAAATTTTGATATTTTAAATGTCTACCTCTGGCCCGACCGAACTTATCCTACTTGTATAAAAAAGTTAGCTGTTTTCTTAAAAAACTTTCCATCGATTTTGGTACCAAGAATCGACAGTTCAATGATCACATGTCGTCATCATAGAAGGACATCCCTTAAACAAGACGAAACTATCATCATAGACAGGGCATCCCGTAAAGAAGGCGAAACAGTGATTTAATTAATTAATTAATAGTTTTATTTTTAATAAAAATTTTAGCTGAATTGGTTTCTACTACCACAAAACATTTTTTAATTTATTATATCTTTTATACTGAAGAATTTTCTTCAAAAATATTTTGCAGAGTTGATCTTTTCTAAAGACAATTTTTTCTGAATAGATTTTTATATATAAAACATAAATGCCTTGTTGACCACGAAGTCAGGCGCCAACGAAACGAACTTCTCATTGGGGTCGTATCGATGGTAACGTAAGAACTTCGAATTGTCACAAGAGACATTTGGGTTTGAAAGGTTTTTTGTAAAGAAGCTATTAATAGCTTCTGGGGAGAATACCCCAACAAAAAACTAAGGGAACTGATGAGGATCAGTGGCGAGATCCGAAACTATAGTCTTCCCTGCCTTACCCCTCGGCGGACAATGCCATACATTCCCCACTAATAAATAGTTGTTTTTTATAAAAACAACAAACTGGGATTAAGCCTGACTATTTTGCAAAAACAATATACAAATGGTATCCCAAATAACCCGCCAAACACTACTAAAAAATAAATAAATAGAATTTGTATGTAGAAACAAACTTCAATTTCATGAAAGTACTACTTCAAAGACCTAACATATTTCTGATTTCCACAACATTTTAAATATCATACCGAATTAATATATAATGGCATGAGTCAAGTTATTTTTAGGCTAGTTAGGCTGGACTCCGCCTGAATTTTTCAGGTCATTTTATAAATAAATTATTTTCCGTACAATATATTATTTAATTCGTAAATAACCAAGTCTATATAAATATGTTCATGAATCTCTCTAATTTCAAATATTTGGTATTTCAGCCTTATCTAAACCATATTCGCATATTGTTAAATACACATTTACATACATCACTCTGCGAATACTCACTTAATTGCTACACATCGAAAATTTACAAATTTTAATCCCATTAAAATAAATTGCTCCGACCGACTTACTCAATTACTCTGGCATTTATTAATGAAGTTATTTTGCATAGCTAATTCACCACAAAATCTTTTCATTAAAATCGACACACCCACACACGCAACTGCATGGAAAACGGAAAATGATGCAAAACCTCAAAATAAAAAAAAACCTCAACTAATATTTTTTGCGGCACTAATAGTTTCAGTTTTTCTTCATCTTCTTCGTCAGTTTGCAGTCTGTAGTCTGACTACATTTTGTTTATTTTCCTTCTTGCTTTTTTTCTTCTAAGCTTTAACAAAAAAATCTTTAGCCGGATTTTATTTCTTTGGCGAAAAATTTACTAAAAGGATATAACTGCAATTTCCGGTTTAGAAAAAAAACACACACACACACACAGAAGCAAAGAGAGTAACATTATTGAGGTTATTTTCTATGAACAACTAACCTGAACATCTGCACTTTACAAATACAAATAGTAAATCATAAGAAGTTAAGACGTATCAAAGAATAAAAATGAAAGACCAGATGGATAAGTGGAAAGATGGATAGATGCCAGCAACCTGTATGTATAGAGTGAAAATGGAGAAACAAAAAAAGAAATGTTGCAACTGTTGCTCTTAAAAGAATCTAAAATTAAAGCTCCCGGGCTAGTAGAGCTGCATACACCTACAAGAGCGAACATACATCATCTACCACCAACACAAAATGTTAAGGAACACAAAAAATAAAAGAAAATTCTATGAATATTCTATTTTGTTCATTTTTTAGTTTTCTTGTTTTAGTGGTGTACCCTACATTAACGTGTTATGACATTGATGAGACTGATTCTTAAAATTGTAAATTAAAGTCTGAGACATTACGGAATTTAAGAATAATTTCAACAAGAGAGATATTTCCGTCAATCGCCATTTGAGAGAACTGGAACCCCAATTTAAGCAACAACGGATTCAAATACTTCTATTAAAAGACAATAAATGTACGGAGTTTCAGGTGCCAAAATACACCCAATTCGATTATTGAAATGAAATGAAAAACTCTAACCTGTAGGCTTATTCTGTAACTTTTAAAAATATTTGTTATTGTACCTCCTACAAATGACGCAGATGACCTGGAAAATATTTTTTTGCATTAATATCATTCGTGAGGCGATGAACAAACCGACTTATGTATGGCTGATCCATGGAAATCTTCCATTGCTGTACCACTTGTCGTTTATAGCGTCATGTTGCATAAAATCTTAATGTTTCTAGAACAAATCGATTCGAACAGTGGAGGTGGCTATCGAGAAGACGGTGGTGATGCTGTTGAAAGGCAGTCGTCCTCCCTGCATTCGAGCTGGTGAACGCGGCATAAAGTATTCGTGTACGGTCAAGTATCTCGGGATAACGGTGTCAGAGCGTTTGGATTTTCTTCCACACTTGAACGGTCGTTGGGACCATCAGGCGTGTTTTGCGGACTGATTGGGGCTTGAGTAGGCTTTCTGTGCGGATCATATATGGTGGGCTGTGTGTTGCCTGCGCAACGTATGGTGCACCTATATGGTACAGAACTGCCTCGTCTGTTTTTGCAAGTGCTTCTTGGCGCCGCGCCGCTTGATCTTGAAGTGACATGTAGGGCTATCATGTATAAGCTTAAGCGTGGCTTGCAGTTGGATGAGGATGATTGGCTCAGGTCTTCTGATTTGGTGGATGGGGTGAGTAGGCTGTACAGCACTATCCTTCGGGACTGTGTTGTTGATAGGCGGAGGACAAGGTAGACGACAAAGGGAGGGTGACGTACGAATTTATTCGTGACGCAACGTTCGTAGTGGACCGGCCAGACTTTCGCTTCGGCTTAAGTACTGGTTTCTTACTGGCGGGTCATGGTTCTCTCAATGCGTTTCTGCATAAGAGAGGCTTGTCCCAGACGGATTTATGTGGGTGCGGGATGACTGGGGACTGGATGCATATACTGACGGAATGCCGTTACTATGATGACATTAGAGATTTAGCAAGTATGGGTATATCGAATGGAGGGGCGGGGTGGGATTTCAGTAGGGCTCTTGAAGACGATCGGACCTTTAGTTGTTTAAGTAGTTTTGCTCGTGAAGCATTTAGGAAAAGAACAGGACTTAGCGGAGGTGATCCTCGGGCGTACCCCCCTTGCAGTTGGGCTCAATCGGTTGCACCGGGTGGTGGTGGGTAGGTGCACCGTACAGCGGGTGTCAGGTGCCCCTGGATATGTCGATCCGGCCTGACAGTTGATGTGGCCCCCTGGGGAGCTTCGCGGGGGTTGTGGTTTCGCCCCTCACCAAGGGGGAGAGTATGCCTTCTGCATGCACTTCGGTGCTGGTGCGCTGGTGGGCACTTATCCGCCTGTGGCTAGCCACTGCGAGGTAGCCCTATTGGCAGGTACTCGCACAAAACACTTCAAGATACAAATACACTTCAAGATAAAATACGTTGTGTCTGATTATTATCGTCTGATTCTTAATTATAAAAACTTGTACCAAAAATCTATAATAAATTAATATTAGTTAAATATTTTTACAGTTTTGTAAACAAATCAAATTCGCAGAAGGTGCCCTTAAACGGAGTAGCTTCGGAATTTGTCACCTATAGGTATAGCCTGGTAATTATAGTTGCTATCAGTGTGGTTAAAATTCAGATCCTCTGAAGGTTATATTTTGTTTTAATACACTACGTAAGGTTAGACCTTTAAAGCTATATTTTCTAGCTGCGAACGTTGACGTCTCAAGACCACACATAATATCAGAAGCAGCCTTTTTCCATCGCGTTTTCTTCAGTAGAAGAACGTTTGTTCTGATGCTTATAATTTCGAACCATATTAAATGATTTTTTTAAGACAAATCTAAAAACATTTAAAGGGAATAATATAGAACATTCTGCATATGGCCGATTGTACTCCGATTTAAAATGGCGATACTCCCCAAAGTATTTTTTGTAGCATTTTTTATGTTCTCTATCAGCCTTCAAAAAATATGATGGTTTTACTTATTTTTATAAGAATATGCAGTACCCCAAGCAAGGGGTAGAACCTTTATATAAGTGCTATGCAACAACATGGACCCATATCCAAATAACTTATGTACCCACCAGAACCATCAGGAGCATATTACTATCGTAATAACCGGGGCGGGGACCTTTATGTGGAACCTATGTTAAAACAAAGGACACGATAAAAAACTATTAATCCACACGGTTCCAAATTTTAATAATCTAAACTAAATCGATTAAAATCTGTTTTATTTGTATATCCTCCACGATAATTACGTTTTTCATTCCGTTTGTAACAGCTCGAAATATTCGACGGAGACCCTATACTATATTCTTTATCAGAACAAAATTCTACAATGATTTAACAACGTCCGTCTGAAAATGGGGTATATATATCCTAATAAGTTTGGTTTCGTCTGTTTGCCAAAAGGTAAATGATATGCATTTCTCTGTTTAGAAGTTAATTAGATTCAGTGGCAAAACACCATGGTTTTTGTCCCCATAATGAATTTTGAACCCCCCAAAATGTAGTTGCGCTGTGTTATAAATGGGGCTTTCCCGAAATATAAGTGTACTATGGAGCTAAAACCAATAGTTAATCGATATTTATAATTTTTGGTAGGAAGGATTCCCGATCTAAAGTATCAACATACAGTCAATTCGGTTAAACATCCTGGTAAAGGTCCTCAAAATACCACGAATGTGGGTTTACATTTATATGGGGGCTACCCCAAAACGTGACTATCTTCAGACTTGACCTGTCTGCAAGAGTCGGGCGGACCTGGCTACATCGTGTTCAACCACCTCCTTATCTTCCTAAGTTTGCACAATATGCAGTTGCATACCATTGAAGAAAAATATTTTATAGTCTGTATGGAAAAAAAGTCCGTCACTACAAGAAAAATCTGCTCTGAAAAGGAATGTTCTGGTGTGATGCCAAATGTCCGAACCTTGACACGGTTGAATTTAATTCGTAGATGCAATTTCGCAACTATAGTCGACATAAATACAACTTATCAAGTAAAGACATTTATAAGCCACATTGCCCAATATGCCTGATGAGCCTCTTAACCAACGGCGAAACGCGTCGCATAGTGGTGGGAATGTAGAATCTCTCTTTGGCTTTCCTTTTCATTGCCTCCGATCATGTAGGTCATCTCGAAAGAGAAATTAATACAACGTTTACCTTTTAAGTTTTATGCCTTTTTAGAGCAATAAGTTACAAATGGAACGACAAAATAAATTTACCTTCCATACTATGGTGGAGGGTATAAAAACTATTAATATTGGTCCATATTATAGCTTCCATTAACGTTCGACATTCTGAGGATTTCCGATACATTTTTGTTTCTATTGATTGACAAATGTTCCAAGCAAATATTAATTGGCTCTCATTTTGGCAAACTTAATTAATATCAGTACGCGATATTAATTAAGACTATTATGAGACTATACCCATATCGACCCATCTATGGGTATAGTCTCATAATTCGTGTTTTGATAGCCCTGGACGTTTTTCAACTGGCTATATTTTGGCATTTTTCTTGCTGGGTAAAGAACATCGTTGTAGAAAATTGCAATGAACGTTTTGGAATAACTCACATATAACGATACCGCCCCATTTTCCGTCAGAACGAGGCATGAGGCACACTTTCCATGAGAACTGCTTACAATTTATTATTTTGATTTCTAAAGGGGGAAATCCTCAAAATTTATTTACAGAGCGAATTTAAATCTTTTGCACATATTAGACACAGTCTCAATCGAATTGTTCACATGTGATTTCGAACTATGGTTAGAAATATCTAAACTCGTATGATATTGAATATTTTTTGTAAGAAGGTCTTCCATTCATATTTTTTTCATACTGCCTAAAATTCATATTCATCGAATAAAATCCAATTTAAAAATCGTGCAAAATTCTAAAAATCGAATAACCCATATTAACACATACCGCTCCTCTTCGACTAAATGAGTATTTTGATCTCTTGAAAATTTTAATATTATTCCCCTCTGGTACTACTGAAAATATGGTATGTGTGTGATATCACATAGTCGATCTCACCCAAAACAAATATTTACCTTCTAACGAAATATTTTAAATATTCTATTAGGATTTCACTACAAATACTAAACCCACTCCCCACCTCTCCACCATGTTGCAATTGCCCCAAAGGGTTTACCACCACTCTCTCTGTATGACTGACATTTACTTGAATTTCTGCCACTGTTTGGTTAGTGGTTTATTTAAGCCATAAATTTGGTTGCTATCTGTGTGTGTGTGTGGGTGAGTGTGTGTGTGTTTGCGTATTGTTTTTTGTCTGTTTACCATAATTTGTGGCCTCGTTTTTTCTACTGCTGCTGTTATTCTTGTTGTCTATCAGTCTAACCATTTTTGTTTAAATATGAAACATATCCCAATTGTTTGTGGATGAAAACACACAAAATGGAAAAAATAGTAAATTAGAATTGTGCAAAATATTTGATATGCTACCACCCGATTCTCTGCTGTGGTTACTTTTTTGTGGTACTACACACTTTGGTGTTTTTACTGTTATTATTTATTTATCTATTTATGTTGTTGTTTTTGTTTGTCGCTGCTTACACTTTTCATATACATTTATTTTTTGTTTTGGTTTTCTTTTTTGATTTGACAGACAAACCCGTAGCAATTTCGTGGCCACAACGCGGCGATATATCTTTCGAAAATGTCAGTTTACGTTATGAGGGACAGCACGAGGATGTTATTAGAAATTTAAATTTGAAAATACCGGCTGGCCAAAGGGTAAGTATTTTTTTTGTACATTTTTCTACATAGTATTAATAAATGGCATTTTTGTGGATTGTAATATTGAATATTTGAAATAGTATGTAGAAAATTTAAAAATAAACTCAGAATAATTACAATTATGTAAATTTTTTTGTATAATTTTAATTTGTTGAATTATTTTTTTCTAAAGATAAACGTAAATTTAATTGATTTTTAATATAGAAAATTATTTTTTCTATGGACAAATAATCAAATGATTTTTTCAATAGAAAATGATATTTTCTGTATAAAAGACTTACTGAATTGTTTTTTTACATCTACAAGTAGTGATTTTTTTCTAACGAAAAATTAATATAGGACAATTTTGTATGTATGCTGCGTTGGCATATTGTATACAATCAGTTTAATAATTTGATATTTTCATACAAAAAGTTAGCTGAATTAATATTTTTTACAGAAAAAGTAGGCTTTATTGAAGAAATTCGATATATTTTTGCGCATGTGAGACACAATCGATGTATAATGATATATAAAATCAAATGTATGGCGGGGGTAGTGCAAAATAGAAAAAAAACAGTAAGGAAAGTAGTAAAGTCGGACTGGGCCGACTATATGATACCCTTCACCACTTTGGGTACATATGTATCCGAAAAGACGTCGCCTTTTTGAAGGAATTTTGACATGAAATTGAACGAACTTAAATATGTGATTTTTATGTCTTTCTGGGACCTATGCTAAATTTCATTTCATTTGGGCAAGTTTAGAGTCGTTTGCGCACAGTGGGACAGATTTGTGTAAATCTATTCAAAACAAACTTGACACACGCTATTCGGCATGCTGCACTGTTTAAAATTTAATCTCAATAAATAAGTCGAAATTATATATGGAAGCTACGAGATATCTATATCTGAACCGATTTGAAGCAAACTTGCCAGAGATTAATTTACGAAAAAATACGTATAGGAGGTGTACACATTATTCCAGACTTAATTCAATACGCTATGGCAAAATTCGTGCAAATCGAATGATTTTCAGGAACTTTGGTGCACCATTTACCTAAAATCGGACGAAACTATGTATGGAAGCTATATCTAAATCTGAACCGATTTTCACGAAACTTAGCACACACCATTCTAGACTTAATTTAGTACGCTATACCAAAATTCATGCCAATCAAAAGATTAGCAGAGACATTGCTGTACCATTTATCTAAAATCGGGCGAAACTATATATGGAAGCTATATCGAAATCTAAACAGATTTTCACGAAACTTAGCACACATCATTCTAGACTTAATTCAATACGCTATGCCAAAATTCGTGCAAATCAAATGATTTTCAGGGACTTTGGTGCACCATTTACCTAAAATCGGGCGAAACTATATATGGGAGCAATTTGTAAATCTAGACCGATTTTCACGAAACTAAGCACACGTCATTCTAGACCTTATTCAATATGATATACCAAATTGCGTGCAAATCTAAAGATAATCAGAGACATTGGTAGACCATTTACCTAAAATGGGCGAAGTTATATATGGGAGCTATATTTAAATCTGAACCGATTTTCACGAAACTTAGCACACGGCATTCTAGACGTAATTCAATACGCTATGCCAAAATTCGTGCAAATCAAATGATTTTCAGGGACTTTGGTGCACCATTTACCTAAAATCGGGCGAAACTATATATGGGAGCTATATCTAAATCTGAACCGATTTTCAGGAAACTTAGCACACATCATTCTAGACCTAATTCAGTAGGCTATACCAAATTTCGTGCAAATGAAAAGATATATAGGGACTTTGGTACTCCATTTACCTTAAATCGGAAGAAAATATATATGGGAGCTATATCTAAATCTGAGCCGATTTTCACGAAACTTAACGCACATCATTCGAGAACTTATTCAGTAGGCTATACCAAATTTCGTGCAAATCGAAAGATATTTAGGGACTTAGGTATCCTATTTACCTTAAATCGGACGTAAATATATATGGGAGCTATATCTAAATCTGGACTGATTTTTCCCAATTTCAATAGGGTTCGTCCTTGGGCCAAACAAATGAGCTGTACCAAATTTCATCCAATTCGGATCATAAATGCGACCTGAACTTTGTTTACATTTCAATACGGACAGACGCACGGACATTCATAAATCGACTCAGAAAGTGATTCTATGCATATTCTTAAAAGAAACCATGGGTCTATCTCGATTATTTTTGCCAGTTAAAAACATATACACAAAGCCATAATACCCTGTACCACAGTGTGGTGAAGGGTATAATGAGTCACAACCAAATTAGCATAGAGAGTAAGTATGTCGACCACTATAACAAACATTATTATACATCCGGAAAATGTATACTGATTTTCTTCATAAAAGCCTTTCGAAGTCACATCGTTCTAATATTTCTAAAACACTTAGATGGCTCGAAACAGAACATCCGCGTCTTGTAGAGTGTGAGTATCCGCGTCTTGTAGAGTGTGAGTTTGGTGTGGCGACAGGTGGCCTTGTTTCTGAAGTGCTTATTTAGACCATAGTAACATTTGTTGACCTCAAATTTCAAAAATCATGTCATTGGTTTTATTTATTCAAAGCTGCAGTTTTCAAGTTCCACAGTTGCTTCGAGTCTACTGGTCTTTTCGTCATTTACTACCAGTCCCACTTTGGCAGGCTCTCAATCCGTTTAAAGGTGGCTGTTTCCGCTAGCAATGTTTTTATACCCTTCACCAAACTGTGCTACAGGGTATTACATCTTTGTGCATATGCTTGTAACAGGTAAAAATAATCGTGACGTCTATTACGATACATATGTAGAATACACCCAAAGTGGTGAGGGGTATCATATAGTCGGCCCAGTCCGACTTCGGCTTTATAGTGGACGAATAGGTGGAATGTGCCCATATGTTTTTCGTAGTTCTTTTCTAGGATTTGGCGTATGATCTGGTTATAGTGGATTTGCCATTAATAACATTGACCATTAGCTTCAGTCGTTCACACAGCACGCTATATAACATGATGAGTAGGAGACCAATTTCTTTATAGTTGACACATATCGTCTTGTCTACTTTTTTGTGCACACAGGGTGCTGAGGTTCCAATCATTGGGCATGCATTCCTCTAGCCAAGTTGTGCTAATTAGTTGGTGTATGCATCTGACCACCAGTCTTGAATAGTTCGGCTGGTAGCCCATCGGCACCTGCTGCTTTATTATTCTTCAGCCGATTGATTGCTATTCTGACCTTATCTTGGCTAAGTGGTATACACTCTATATAGTCATCTTTTATTGGTTCTGGGGTATCTTTATCACCGCTACTATTTGATATCAAAAGCTCTGCAGCTTCCTGATCCGCAACACGCTATATGTATCTCTCACCAGGTTTTATTCTGCATATCTACAGGAGGATGTGCAAAGCCCTCGGTTTGGTGTTTAACTCGTTGGTTAAATTTCTGGACTTCATTCTGACTCTTCTGTTATTTCTCTTTCTTCTAATGATAATCTTTGGTACCCAGGCGTTGCATTTGTTGCATTTTGTAGGGAGTGGGCAATTCTTTCCCATTGTGCTTCTATACTACTATCGGACAACTAGTGCTTTCGACTAGCAAGTGGGTAAGTTCAGCGGACAGCTTCTGGTGGCAGGTTTTCGACGTCGAGTTTCCGCGTTATGTTAGATAGCATCTTTGCTGCTACATTAAGACGAGTGCGAAATCGATCCCTTGTCTATCTCGTTTGATTTCTCGTTGTTTTATTGGGAGAAATTCAGGTGGCCTTGTGTATATCGATATGCTTGAATCTGATGCTGCTAACTACCATATTTTTGCTGCCGCGAAGTCAATCAACCTCATGCCGTTGTCGAATTTTTCTTCATGGAGGCTGAATTTTCCGACCCGTGGGGCCAAAAGTATTTGCCTTTCCTATGTTTGAATTTTAATATCATGGCCACGGCAGCGGTCATTTGCCGTTTCTAGGCGCTCGTAAAATATGTCTTTGGTCTGCTCATCTTTGACTTTCGTCGGAGCATGAACGCAAATAAGACTGCTGCAGAAGGACTTCGCTTTTATACGGATTATTGAAATTCGCCCATCTACTGGAGTGAATCTGGAGACGATGTCTTTTGTTATCCTGTTAACCATAAATCCCCAGCCAAATTCATGTCTCCGTTCATGTCAGCTATAATACAGTGCGTAATTATATGATTTACTTACGCCTGCCCCTTCCCATCGCATTTTCTGTAAGGCAATATTATCGGCTTCGTACTTCATGAGTACATCCGCCAAAGCGAAAACTGCGCCTGATTTACAGTTCCTGGCTCTTTCCACGTTTACAGGGGGTCGTCACCATTAGGGGTGATTGGTTTTCTTTTTCGTTGCTTTTCTCCTGGCAGCAATTTATAAAAGTCGCCCCCGTCGATTTTAGGTGGAGTATATATAAACAGTGTTTTACTTGTTACATTACGAACAATCGACTATTTATTGTTATCTAATTATTTGTACTCAATTTCGATATTTCTAAAATCCCAATTGACAGAGTTCATTTACATCAAATCAAATCATTGCTGTCTAACCAATTAGTTTTTAACAAATCTCAGCACACATTCTGTTTTCATTTCCTTTGTTTTGTTAAACTGATAACTGCACGGAAGTAAATATTGTAAAACTTATCAATTTTAAACAAAAATTCGAAATTTTTGTTGCCAAATAATACACAAATGATATCCTTTGAATAAAAACAATAGCAATATTTTGATTAAAATAAGCCATCAGGCTCTCCATCAGTGTTTTGTATTCAGGCCAATTATTTTAATATGCCATTGGCAAATTTTAACTTTTTGGTATGCGTTGCAGTTTTTTTATTTTAACTATTATCAAAGTAAATATTACACAATTTGTATTTGTTGTAAATATTTTATAAAATCTATCCAGAGATTACAGTAAATACTTCGTTTTTTTCCGCATTTGCAGCTCACTTTTTGTTCGTTATCAATCAATAAGTAAAAAATTGTAATTTGTAACAGTTAACTTTTAAAAGCTTTTTGTTGTTGTATTGCTCTAATAGCTTTTGCCTGAAGTAAATTAACTACAAAGCGTTGATAGACATGGCTAGTGTGTGATTGATGATATGGATTTGTATTGAACAAATAAATACAAAATGAAAAAAAAAAACAAATATCATAGAAATAAAATATTACGAATAAAATTTGCTGTTAGAGATCTAACAAATTGTTAGTACATAAATAAAAAAGTAACAAAATGTGTTGTTAAAAATTTAAATATTTAAATTTAGTTCATAGTATATTTAAATATTCTTATATTTTAAATAATATATATTTTGATACAAATATTATATTTTTAAATATTGAATAATAATAGTAATGTTAATAGAACATTTTCTTCACATTTTCTTTTACTGGAAAAATTACCGGCGGCGAAGTGAGAGAAACCTTGATATTAAGGCTATATCGAAACATCAACCGTTATTTATAATTTATGTATATATTATTATTATTAATAATGTCAAAAATTCAATTAATCTGTAGACACTTGCTACCTTTAGGGTCGTCTATTTAGGCCTCAGCTTGACTACATATAGAAAACTGGTCTGCCGCTCGTCTACATGACCTCATTTGCCTTCAGGGCATGACGATCGGACCATCTTCTATATTAATTACCTCACATTCAGCCCCTTTATATGGACAGCGTATCACTTCCTTACCCTGATTTTGGCTTTATATATTCCATTCCAATCAATTTGTCTATATATACTTTCCAAAATTGTCCGCACACTGCATTCAGTTCAATTATATAGACTCCCTGGCCCTCAGCTTATCATTGGCCTTTATTGCGACCGTAGAGACTACATGACCCTCAGTTCTTCTATGAAAATTCTCTGGCCTCAGCTCGTTCCTATCGTACCTCGTACAGGTCTTCAGATCATCTTTAAAGAGTCACAGGTCGCAAGCTTATCAATATAGATAGACTGATTATTAACATGTCTATATAAATTCCCAGGCATACATCTCCTTTCCATGGACAGACTGCCACAGATTGTCATAAACTTAATGACTTATATAGTACATGTAGGCGCAGTGAGACACGCTGCATTCAGCTCTTTCATATATTGTGAATCCATACTCCATATCTCTCAACTTATTCTTGGCGTTTAATTAGTCATAATATTAGTCAATATAATCGAATTTCTGCTCATCAAATTGTCTATAATGTCTCGCTAGCCTTTTTTAGACTCTAAAGACTTCCTGACTTTAGTTCGGGTATATATACTTCTGGACTTCGGTTCGTCTTAAGGGAACCCCACCCATTCTCGATTTTAATTTTTCAATATTTTCAATGGGCTGGTAAATCAATACCAATGCTTGTTAAGGTTTGTAACTTTGAACATATATAATTGAAGATTTAAAAGAGAAGAAAAATAATTTACAAAAAATTTTTGTTATTGTTTTGTTGTTGTTTTTTGTAATTAAAGAAAAGTCCTTATTTTGGTGGGCCTTGGTGGGCCTTTGAAAAAATATTTTTGGAAAATCGTCGATTTTTTACCAAAAACCAAGTTAAAAAATAAGGAAGATCTTCACCGATTGGCTTTATACTAGTTCATACGAGAGCTATACACTCCCAGAGAAACGTTGCAAAATTTGGAACCGATTGGATTATTAGTTTTTGAGTTATCGTGCCCGCCATTCGCAAAAAAAATGTTTAGAGAAAAACGCGTTTAAAGTTTGAAAAGTCCTTCAGCCGTCACTTGATGCCGACACAATAAATCGGCTATATCTTCAAGAGTTCTTGAGATTTTCACTTGAAATTTTGTAGAGACATTCTTTAATCAGTGTAGATTCGAATTATATCAACAAAAATTTTGACCCCGAGAATGGGGGGGGGGGCCCTTAATAAACTCACTGAATTTCTGTCGGTCCATACAAACCCGTATAAGGATCGTTCCTATAGACATCCTGGCTATCAGCTTCATGGCCTTTCCATGATCCTTAGTCAGATCTCTCAGTTCGCAGGGAGACTAGGCTTGTCATATTCTTTATATACTACCTGGCTCCCAGCTTAGTGATGACCATAAACCCTATATAGACTATTTGATCAACAACTAGTCTATATAAGATCTTTCGACTTAACCAAGTCCCTATATAAGATACCAGTTGGCGATCGATAATCTCTTCTCTGTTCATAGCTGCCATATTTTGGGTCCTTGGCGCACCATTTATTTAAAATCGGACGAAAATATATATGGTAGCTATATCCAAATCTGAACCGATTTCAAGGAAACTTGCCACAAGGAAACTTGCCGACCTGCACTTTGTTTACAATTTAACATGGACAGACGGACGGATGGACATGCATAAATCGACTCAGAAAAGGAACCACTATTCTCAAATGAAACATGTGTCTAACTCGAAGAAGGCGAAGTTATATATGGGTGCTATATCTAAATCTGAACCTATTTCCACAAAACTTTTTTGTATACATCAATATGAACATATTTCAATAAGCTGTGAACGTTTTTATTTGATTCGGACAAATAGTGGGTGTTTATGCACTATTTACCAAAAATCGGACGAAGCTATACATGGGAGCTATATCTAAATCTGAACCGATTTTCACAAAATAGAGTATATGGACCTATTTAAATACATTGTGCAAAATTTTGTACCAATCGGTGCACTATTTACCAAAAATCGGACAAAACTATATCTAAATCTAAACCGATTTCCACAAACTTCGTATACATCCATATGGACCTATTTCAGTACGCTTTGTTGTGTCAATCGGACATATATTGTGTGTTTGGGGCACCATTTAGATAAATCGGACGAATAGATATATGGAAGAAATATATAAATCCTAACGGATTTTCTACAATTTCAATAGGGTTCGTCCTTGGGCCAAATATTTCATCGGATCGCAAATGCGATCTCTACTTTCTTCACAAGACTATATGGGCATATGCATAAATCAACTCAGAATGCGATTCTATGCATATTATCAAAAGGAACCATGGGTCTATCTCGTTTTCTTCTGCCTGTTACAAACATATGCACAAAGACATAATACCCTGTACCCATAGTGTTTGTTTTCATAACTTCGAAGATTTTTCTTCTATATTTAAGGAACTTTAACCTTAAATGAATACTTAAACTTACATTTTTACCAGCAATACCTCTCAAAGGGCAATCCATTTTAATTGTCATTTTTCCCCATCCATTATTATTATTATTTTTTTCATTGTTGCCACCACTTGTTTTCGTTATCGTTGTATGTGCGTGTTTGTGGTTATCGTTAATTTGTTCTCTGTCTTCCATCTTTTTTTACAGATTGGCATTTGCGGTCGTACCGGCAGTGGTAAATCATCATTGGCCCTTTCACTATTCGGGGTTTTACAGGTGAGCCGGGGCTGTATACGCATCGATGACAATGATATCTCGCACATACATCCCGACGAGGTACGTACACGATTATCGATAATCCCACAGGATGTTCATTTGTTCAATATGACAATACGAGAGAATCTTGACCCGTCTGGTTACTATTCGGATTTGGAGCTATGGAATTGCCTTGAATTGGCACAGATGAAGGACTTTGTCAATAGTAAAATGCCACAGGGATTAGGTATGTATAAATGTATTGCGGATGTATGTATGTTCATGTGTCATGGAATTTCCTAACGATTATTCATACACGTTGTGCATGTGTTTTTCAGCCTGTCTGTGTGTGTCACATCATGCGCCATCTCACACATAGTAGGAACCTTTACATAGTATTTGTTAGGTTTCATGCAATTTGAATTTTAAAGTGAACTTGCTGTTTTGGGTGGGGTGGAGAAGTTAGTATAGCGGATTAAAAAGGGTGGCTGTGGCCTCCGACCAGTGGCCATCATGAAGTGCTTACCACAGCCTAGGCTATCGATTTAACAATGTTCACCATGAGTTTGCTTGGCTTCCCAGCATTCATTGACATGTCAAGTGAGACTTTATAGCATCGGGTGTTTTTTTTCGTACGAACGAGTTGAGTTTTGTATTTGTTTGGTATTCGTTCGTTTTCTCATATCCTCTTATAGTTTCAAGAGTTTAACGTAATTGTCCTTAGCTAAGCTGTTATCAGTAATAAATATGGCGGTATATATTGGAATATTAAAATAAAAAATCTTTTAATTTTTTGTTGTTGAATAATTGAATTGCATTTAAGATAAGAATTTTTATTTGAATTTTTTGGGGGTAAATGCCGATGAAAAGGGCATAAGTGATTTAATTGTAAAGAAGTGTGGGTCATCAAAAATCTGAGATAAAGAGGTTAGATAAAAAATCCACGGTTCTATTGGGTGCTGAAAAATATTCTGTAAAAAATCCACGCTTCTGTTTGGTGTTGATTTTTTTTTAATCCACGCTTCTGTTGGATGTTGAAAAATATTTTTTAAAAAATCCACGCTTTTTTTGGGTGTTGAAAAAAATTTTTAAACCAGTGAGCGGAGCAGTATAGTCGGACGGGGCCGACCATACGATACCCTACACAACTACCACGGAACTCAAATTTTCTGCGGATGTTTATTCCGAGCCTGGACAATATTTCGTGATATTTGCACCCTCTTGCCCGATTAGAGGTAAACAGCACCTCTTCCTCAAACTGACATATTTTCCGAATATTTCGGAAACATATTTTCCGAATATTGGGTTGCATTGTGATGTTCGGCTTTCATTTGTGGTCTATAGATCGACTCGAAAATAACACAAACAATTATGTTTTCGGTCCACTTCATTATTATCAGATCATCACCGAAAATTATAGGCGTTGAATCCACGCTTCAGTTGGCCCTTGAAAAATATTCTTTAATAAATCCACGCTTCAGTTGGCCCTTGATTTCTCCTTCTCTAGCATTCAAATCCATCGGTTTATAATCTGGCACACCATCCACTGAACTACGCCACCCTTTTTACAAATTTTACCCCACAGAAAATATGTAAAAATTTCCTCTATTTTCAGATACCGAAATTATGGATGGCGGCATAAATTTAAGCGTGGGCCATCGTCAACTTTTCTGCCTGGCCAGAGCCATTTTACGTGGTTCCGTGTGCTTAGTTTTGGATGAAGCTACCAGTTCTTTGGATACCAGCACTGAAAAGGCATTACTAGAGGCAGCTCATAAGGCTTTCCAGGGAAGAACGATAATAACAATAGCGGTATGTTTGTTATACATTTTTTAAGAAATTTTTATTTTATTGAAATATTTTTTTTTCTCACAGCATCGTTTATCGACTATTCTCGATTATGATCGGGTCATTGTATTGGAAAAGGGGCAAATTATTGAAGATGGCCCTCCGGAAGAATTGAAAAATAAAGCCGGTGGTATATTTGCTGCTCTCTTGAAATCTGGTAGACCTTTGTCGATTTTAAGTACGGATACTGGAATACAAAGTTTTTAAGAATATGAGTATATTTACCAAATAGTTTAATTGTGTAATTACAAAATTTATAGTATGAGGGGGATGTTTTCTTACATTTAGTTTTTTTTTCAGAAGTAGTGATAAACTGAAAATATAGACGAGCTGAAGGGGTCTCTATAGACGAGCTGAGAGAAGTATCTATAGACAAGATAAAGTGAGACATTGTAGATGAACGACCGAGTGTATGTATATACCAGTCAAATAGAGATTTTGTAGGCGAGCTGAGGCTTCCATCATATCCTTATGAGTCTCCTTTTTACGTTTATCGGACGCACTGGTTACCTTAGCATAGGATAGCGGCTCCCTGGCAGCTTTGTTGTGAATTTCTCCTCCGCACTGTAGGTTAAGCCTTTTGGGATTCCCGGTCTTTGAGGATTTCAATGCAATTGTTGTCGATGAATCCTCGTGGCAGTTTTTATTAAGTTTGGGTTGGGTCAACTTTCTCTCTCTATCAGACGACGGGGAGCTCTTTCCTTCCTGGCAGGTTGGACTTTAGTCTGCACTTCTAGGGACCTAATATTCTTCACCATTTCCGAGTTATTGGGGGAAAAGTCTGATTTATCCTTCTTGGTATCTAACTGCTGTTCGCTTTTGTTTCTCCTATTTATCATGGTCAGTTTCCGCTTCCTTGCCTCAAATAGCTCTTTTTTCTTGCCGGGAGCTTGCTCCTTGCTCATTTTTTCCACCAACTTATCAGCCTATTTGCTCCTCCTGCATTCTATGACAAGAATGTGTGCATTATATTCGTTTATTAATGCAGAATTTAAGTTGGAGTCCCGGCCTGTCTCGGAAGTTTTGGTCGAGATTACTCTTTGCCGGTGGTACTTGAACTCATGCTTGTAGAGATAGCCTCGTCTGTAGATGCCAAGACACCTATATCTGTTGGATATATTTGGTCACCATCTCAGAATGACAAAGGGGCGCGACTCGAGGGCATATCAATGACACTCTTCGGTTTGTACTGGGATATTTAGGCCTCATACCGTAACTTTATTCTTACTTTCTTTTTCCATGGTCCGTTTTGGTCTGCGGGGATAAACTTCTAAAGGAAGGTGATCAAACTATGCTAATACCTCCCCCTATCCTTATTGTAGACAGACAAATCCATCTGGTTCGTGGTAATTAGTTTGGGGACCAGAGTAAATTATGATTGGATGACCAGAAGGACAAACTTCACCTGGGGACGCGGTCGGTTGTAGACTGACAACTCCTTTGGGCAGTTAGAAGGCTGATAATTTACTCGGGGTTTCTAAAGTCCAGAATAAATTCTGAATGGATGACCAGAAGGACATACAAGAAAAACTAAGTGGTAGGAATACCTCCGAGAAATTCTATATTTTTAAAAATAATGTAAATGTATATATAACATGTACTTAATTATAATTTCCTTTGTAGTTAAACTACTTATCTTAATTATATTTATGTATATCAACAAAAAAATGCCAAATATTATACCAAAAATATGTATTTAAAATATTTTAAAAAATAATCATTTAAAAATGTTTTATTTATGTAATTATATAAAAAACAATGCCAAATAATATACCAAAAAATAATTATAAATGTTTGTAAAAATAATTTAAATAAAATTCCAATATTTATGTAATTTATTGTACTCGGATTTTAAACATTGCTTGGTATCTTAAGAAATCTATTGTTTTTATTTTTCTTTTGCCAAGAAGAAATAGCAATACAGTATGTCCTTCAGACTGTTCCACTTACATACATACGAGTTTATTCTACTCTGTCACATACTGGCAACGCAGCCACGTTCCAAATGCAATGGCAAATGCGACCATTGTACAATTGTCATAACCAGTTATAAGAATGGCTTTGATCGGATAACTGACAACTTCACACACTCGACCACGACACAATACCACACCACGCCACTCCACATGAGATGCGATATGTGAGTGTGTGTGTGGCTTTGCTTCATGTATTTAACATTTTTTCTTGTATTTGTTGTTTCTTCTTCAGATTCATTTGTTATTATTGCATGCTTCGAGTTCTTATGTTATTGCATAACAATATTGGTATCAAACGCACACAGACACACTCATACGGGAACACATAAGGAGCATGGAACGTGCTAACAACACGTGCAGCTGCCCACACAAACACATACACACTCTGGAAACCCTTTATGGCAAATCTCTGCTAAAAGTATCATATCGGTTAGTGTTGTATTCGTAAAAGAAAAACACTGAAACGCATATAACACTTATATTAACATGAACCACTTTAAAAATAAATGTCGAAACAATACATGGACGTGTAAGTATACGTACACACACATACGCATATATTTACTCGTGTAAATATTCAATATATGTATGTGAAAAATAAAAAAATGCACATGTATGCGACAGTTTGAAGAAATCAAACAACTCTCGGGAAAGTAAGTCGCATAGCAGGTATGTAATGAAAATATTATTTCAATCCAAGTTCAAACTGAAAAATTGGCATCTGGCTTAATATGATATACTTATATGGATATTTATCTCAATATAAGTCTAGACTATAATCTTAAAAAAGAACAAATAAAAACATCACTCATTCTCAAGGGCCGAACTTTTTATAGCCTCCACCATGTGGGAGGCTATAAAATACATATATTGCTCGTTATCTCAATATAAGTCCAGACTATAATATTAAAGAAGAACAAATAAAAACATCATTCAGTTCTCAAGGGCCGAACTTTTTAAGCCTCCACCACGAGGGGTGTCTTAAAAATTCCTCATGTTAATCGGGACATTTATATGGGGATTATGTTATGGTTTTTTGTGACGTGGCCCGATATAGCCCATCTGCGAAACAACCATCCAAATATTGTAATATCTATCGTGATTTCATCAGACAGACGGAAGGACATACATATAATTTAATTTCGATCAAGAATATATATACTTTATCGAGTCTACGGTGAATATGATATACATATATTGCTCGTTATCTCAATATAAGTCCAGACTATAATATTAAAGAAGAACAAATAAAAACATCGTTAAGTTCTCGATAACCGAACTTTTTATAGCCTCCACAACATGGGGTGTCTTAAAAATTTCTCAAGTTAATCGGGACATTATATGATGATTATGTTATGGTTTTTTGTGACGTGGCCCGATATAGCCCATCTGCGATACCAACCATCCAAATGCTGCCATATCTATCGTGATTTCATCAGAGAGACGGAATGACATACATACAATTTAATTTTGATCGAGAATATATATACTTTATGAAGTCTCCGGTGAATATTTCAATGTGTTGCAGACGGAATGACAAATTAAATATACACTCTACCTTATGGTGGATTTTATAAAAAGGGCTGGAATATTAGATATACACTGGTAGCCAAAACTAAAGCACCTGATATTGCAAACTGAGTATATAAACTGTAACTTTTTTTTGAAAAATAAGTTTATAGTAAACGTTTTTTTTAAGAAATAAATAGATAATTTAATCACCTAAAAAATAAAAAAATATAAACTCAACATTTATTTTGAAATAAAAAATAATCTCTATGGAAAACTAAATTGTCCCAATTTTTTCTGGGTCAAAACTAAGTAACTTTTCGATTTTTTCTTATAACAAAGCAAATTTTGCTTGTTTAAATCTCTTTTGATTTTGCTATCTATGATACTCCAAAGATTTTTACATAGGGGAAGATCTGATAATTGTGTTGGCCATTATAAAACTTCGATTTTATCATTGATCGTCAACAACACTAAAGTTTATTAAAGTTCTCAGACGGTCGGAACATATCAATGCGGCGATTGGTGCACTAGGTTTTAAAACACAAATTTTAGGAAACAATTCATATTTATAAATTACTGATAATTCACTTTCATTATAATTACCAGTTTCATCTGTTTAATTGACCATGATTAATGTTCATATTTTGATGCATCTGAATGATTATAACATTTTTGTTTTTTTGTAAACCATGACCCGCAATGTTTTAAAATTTTACCGTTGTAAAGGTCAAAGTTTCCAGATTTGAAATATACCTAAATTTCGCTTTTTGGATTTCTGGCTCATTGTTTTCGGTTAAAAAATACTCGATGTAATGAACTGACACTTGGCCCATTTGTGCTAAATATATATTCATTATTGATCCCTTAATGTGTTATCGTCCACACCATACAGCCAGACACACGTCTGTGACGGATTTAGCTCGGTTTAAAATCTGTATGAGGGTATAAACATGTAAATAGCTAAAATCTGTATGTTTCAGTGGATTAATTTAGGTATTTGTAGGCAATTTTTGTTGAGGAATCATCTGCATCAATTGAAATATAAAATTAAACCAATAAGAAAAGAGCCGCACTGCTCTACACCACTTTGGACATATAACAGATAATGCCCATTATATAAACCCAGTAAGGAAAGTAGTAAAGTCGGACTTGACCGACTATATGATACCCTTCACCACTTTGGGTATATTGTACATATGTATCCTTACAATTTCATGTTCCCTCGAAGGAACATACTCATGTCATTCTGCAACCTATGATAAATTTAATTTCATTCGGGCAGATTAAGAGTCGTCTGCGTACCATGGGACAAATTTATGGAAAACGATTTATTGCAAAATTGATACACGCTATTCGGTACGCCGCACTGTTAAAAATATAATTTCAATCAGACATCCAATCGAAATATATATGGAAGCTATGGCTACATCTGCACGAATTTCAACAAAACGCAATAACGCCATTCAAGTCTCAATATGATACGTTGTGCAAAATTTCGTGTTAATCGGAAAAACTTTAGGTGTTTGGTGCACCATTTATGTAAAATCGGACGAAAAAATATATGGGAGCTATATCTAAATTTTAACCGATTTTTCCCAATTTCAATAGGGTTTGTCCTTGGGCCATATAAATTAGCTGCGCCAAATTTCATCCAATCCGAATCATAATTGCGACCTGTAGTTTGTTTGCAATTTAACATGGACAGACAGACGGACGGAT